TTACATAAAAATTGTAAAAGTTTATCACAAATTTAATTATTGAGCAATTAAGTACAAACAATTGGAAAAATATTTAACAAAATAATTAAAAAATTAAAATTATTTAAATAAATAAATAAATAAATACTTTTTGTAATTAAATCAGTTTAACATTATCTTATCAAAACTGTATTAAAACAAATTCATCGCGTTATTATATACTATTTCTCAAGCAGCAGAATGACGTCAAATGACGTCTTAATAACGTCTTAATGACGTTATAGACGTCTTTAAGACGTCTTTAGACGTCATCTTACTACCTGGGTTATTATTTAGAAAATCAATTTTTTTCTTAATTTATATAATTATACTGCTGTTTGCATTAAAAAACGTTTCAATAATGTAGAAATTTAATCCTTTTCAAATAAGAAAATACATCTTGCTTCTCTCCATCTCCCGTACAAAAATTGCTCTATAATATGTATATTAAATGTCTTTCTTCCTTCCGCTTTTATATATAACATCATTTCTTATCGCATATAAATCTCACATCTATTTCGAGTGTATATATTAATGATATAACGTATAGTTTTATAATTATTACACTCTAAATATATAAATTTAAATCTAAGTCCTTAAAAAAGAATGTTATCAGAAAAAATTTAGAAGATTTAATTTCATTTAATTAGATTAAAAATATTAAATAAAAAGCATTTAATAATAAATTAAGTGGAAGTTAAAGATATTTAATATCAAAAATTAAAGATGCAGAAAAAAAGATATATCAAAATTTTTTCATGTGTGTGGATGTATATATGTATGCGCGTGCGTATATAATTGAAAAATATACAATAGATGCAGAATATTTTGTATAATAATAGAATTGATTAATGTAAATTAAATTTAAAAAATTTCCAATTTCGATAAGTGAGAGAAGAGTATCATATAAATATGTATATCCTTGAATTACACATTGATTAAACTTCAATTTCAGAATCAATGCTCTATTTAACTCATCTGTTGTCCATACGTTTCTATTTATAATAATATAAAAATAAAAAATTTCTATTTAAAATAAAAATCTAGCAATATATATACATGTAGGGATTAAAAATGTAACAAAATATTAAGATTTAATATACAAAATTTATTTGAAAATTGAAGAAACGAGAATTTTTAAAGATTTTTTAATTTTAATTATGAAGCAGTTAAGTAAATACGATTCACAATTCGAATGATTATATATTAAACTAATACGATAACTTGGAGCAATACTATTTAGAGATATTACAATTATTTTTTATAATAATTTATATATAATAATTAAATTATATGTAATAGAATATTTAAAAATATAAAGAAAGGTTCTATAAAAAATTTTAAAAATTTAAAAAGAAATGTTCAATTCAAACCCCTTTACGTTTGGCTTATATAATTGGCTTAATTTCTTTTTTCCTGGTATTTAAATTTAATAAAATTTCATATTATTTCTTGTGTGTATGTGTGTGTGTGTGTGTGTGTGTGTGTGTGTGTGTGTGTGTGTGTGTGTGTGTGTGTGTGTGTGTGTGTGTGTGTGTGTGTGAGTGATATCGTTTTTCATTTTTTAAAATTTTTATTTGATTTCTTCAATTAATAATTTTATTCAGTTTTTAAACAGTAGAGCATTCATCTAGTTATCTTCATATTTTTATGATGATTCCGCGGCGTTCCGCGGCGTTCTCGCCGTTTACCTTTAAATATCAATTCGTAACAATACTCAGAAAAGCATTACTAATAATGACAATAACAATATAATAATAAGAACTCCTTCGTCTCATCGCCCTCTTCTCGTAGTACATTAAAATAGTCGTCGAACGAAGTTCTATCAACTATATAACTCACATAACTACTTTTTATTATTTTTTTTACTATCTGAATAGTTCTTCCTAAAAACTTAACGTGCTAGCGTACATTTCTTTTTTTGCTTCTTTCGTCTTTTCTTATTTATTTATCTACTTTTCTTTATGTGTGTATCGTCATTATGACGAGCATAAGGGGCTAAACTTTCTCCTTGCATTTTCGAGCACGTGATATTTGCAAGCATATTTATTCCGAGAGTCATATGCTGCGCGACCAGGTGACGCTGCATTGTAATTGGATTTTCAAGATTCTAATAAAGGGGTCCTAACTTTTGACTATAAAACATTAACTACTAGCGAAAATTTTAAATGTTTGCACTAATTAAAAAGGACTGTATAATTGAAAGAAATTTTGTCGTTGATAAATATTATTTTATCATCTTTACTCAAGATTATTTTCGCCAATTTTACATATAGCCTGCATAAATTAGAAATCAGGAGATTTAAATTTTAATTGTGAATTCTAAATTTGTTATTAATGAATTATTAACTTGACTATACTATATGTTAAGTATGTGAACCAAATTCATTGATATATTTATTACACGCCTTATGCATTGCGTTTGTAAAACAATCATGGCAAAAGAGACAAGATGTAATATCAAATAAGTATCAGACTAATGAAAATGCTGAAATTTACATTCAATAGAAAGTTTAAAATGTAAAAAATAAAATTTTTCGATTTATTTCATTTTCAGCAAATGTCAGATTTCATATGAAATTGGAACATTAATATCGAAGCGAGATACAATCTGAAATTTCTAACATTAATGTTCTAATTTTATAAACTTTGACATTTGATAAAGATATAAGAGAAAAAATGCTCCATTTATATAATTAAATTATGTTGAGTATAAATTTTTGCACTTTGATTTCTGTGTTTTTATTAGCTAGATACTTGTTCTGCATAAATAAAGTTATTTTTAGTTATTGTTGACAAAATATAAAAATGCAATGAATAATCAATAAGATATTTATTTCACAATTATCCTAAAAATTAATATAGTTATTAATATTGATATCAACGACACAATTTAAAAATGTTGAAATGAGAATCTTCTGTAATATAATTTTACAAATTTTAATCTTTATTTGATATATTTTATCATATATAATTGGTATCATATTTTAATATCAGAAAATTTCAAATTTTTGATTAAATTTTGTCATTATTATCCGTTTTTATGTGATTATTATCTGCAATGTTAATTTTATCTCTTTACATCATGATGGAAATAATTCGTATAGCTAGAATAGTCATTGTTTTATAATCAAAAGCTGCGACAATTACTGTCTAAATAAAAGGAATTTATAAACATCATCAAAAAGAGCGCAGATAAATTAGAAATAACTGAAACTGTATATGTGTGAAGTGATTTAAGTTAGAGTTCAGTTTTTTGTATGACGAATACGTTTGAGCTGTTAATTGACAATCTAATTGGGAAGTGTTTGGAGAGTCACATTCAAATATTCGACTTTGTTTAATAGTACTATGGCAATTGTAAGTAGATCTTAAAAATATCATTATGTTTTTTGCATAATAGTTTATCGAATATATTGCCTCAAACGTCATTGGTTGTCGGGAATTTAAGAAGCTTCGATGGTTCCCCAGAAAATTTCCAAAGATATTTCAAAAATATTCCGGATTATCATTTATTAAATGTTTTGTTCCGGAATATAAGGCTAATCATTATAGCCTTATTCGAGATTCTTATTCATTGGATTTTCTCTATGTAAAATATAACATCCCGATTTCTTTTTGAGAATCAATTAACATGTCTGAAACGTTCGTAGTGTATGAGTTGAATTGATCTTGCAGCATAGAATAACTAGATATTCTATAAAATATCTAGAGAAAAAAAATCATAAATATATATATTGGTAATAACTAATCGACAAATTTCTTATTAGTTCCCGCAATAATCAATGGTTGATTTTCAAACCACACCACCAAATTGCGCCAAAAATTCTCTGTAACTGTAGAATATCTAGACGAACTATAAATAGAAAATAATTCAGTATCTACAGTTGGATACTTCACTCTTGTCATACCAGATAATTGATTCGCGTTATAAGCTATACTACGACTAAACACATTCTACAGAACACCTAATTATCCTATATAAAACAACGTCATTTCGCACTTCATTTTAACTGCAACAATTACATAAAAAACTCACACTCTGGTCGAGCCAGCATTCTCTCTCTTTCTCTCTTCATCATCATTTACATCACTCTTGTCTTCTGAATTTTTCCATCACAATATTTTCGATCATACCTGCTTTCGCTCTCTTCTGGAAGTCTTTTTCTGTTTTGCCACGCGGTTTGCTTTTGAATCAGATGAGATTAGATTTTTAGATTTCTAATTCCTTTGACACTATTGGGTTATGCAATCTTCTCTTCTTCATTCTTTCAAGAAACATATTTTACACTCCGTGCTTCTTCAAGGCGGCAATCGTTGATTGTATCAATTTTTTTGTTCTAATAATTTTTGACTTCATTTTTCTTCAGTGTCGTCAATGCTTGCGTCTCTTCGTTGCATTATACAGGGAAATATCAGGACATTCATCGAGAATTTTTTTACGTCCATCGTAGTTTATACATATAAATTCTGGATCAAAATTTATAGTCATTCATCGTAGAGAGAATTAATCTTGATATTTTTTTAATAGTACTTTCCAATTTCATTCTTTGTCATTCCCTTGAGTTATATAAAGATTTATTCCCGATTTTTTTCTATCTACTGTATAAATACACCAGTAGTTTACTCCAGTAGTTTACTCGGCTATTTGATAACATTTTCTGTTCAAATATTTATAATTGTTATTTACTTTAAGATTGCATTTTGCGTTTCTAATTGGTAATTTGTTTTAAATTCTATTGACACTTATACTTTCTCTTGTTAGATTTTATATTTCTTAAAGTTTTCTTTTTCCAGCATTGAATTCCTCTTTAAGTTTTAGTTTTGTATTTCTAGTTAGTAATTTTCTTTTCACAATTCTAGTTAACAACATTCCTTTAAGTTTCTTTCAGTTTCGAATTTTTCAATTTTTTTAGTTTTAGTAAAAATTTACAATTTTCAATTTTACAATTTACAATTTTACTTTATAACTTTTATATCTTATAACATTTTCTTGTGTAAGTGTGTGAGAAAAAAACTTATCCCATGTGTTTCTCTGTAACAATAATAATTTTTCTTTTTTTCGATTATAACTCTGTCATAACTTTTATTCAAGACAAAATTCTTAGTAGAATCACTTCCGATTTCTAAAGTTGAATCCAAATATGATGGCAATGAAAAATTCTTTAAGAATCTCCTGAAAATTCGCGGGAAATGAATCGTTTTCGTCGTTCATTTTGTTTTGAACAACGATTGACTAATTGCTGGGTCTGGGATCAATTTATGATTAGTCGACACGGCGATGTGTCCAATGCTGATGACTATTCCGCATATCGTTTCTCTTTCTCGCTGCATCTTTTGTGTTATCACTCTCTCTTTTATTCCTTTGGGCAGCAGGAAGTGACAGACGGACGCGATTTCGATGACGACGTACAGCATCGCCGTCATCTTTCTCGCAAACCGCGCGCTATGATAGGCTCATTGGAGGCTACACTTACTTTCGATATGCGATTTGAACTCGTTTACCTGCGTTTCTATCGTATTTCTCAATTCTGAAACAATCAAAATGAGAAAACATGCTTAGTAAAACATTTACAATAAAGATTTGAATAGAAAAAAATAATAAGAATAAGATATAGAAAGTTGATAAAAATTTGTTGTCAAAATTGATTTATTTGTTAAATAAAATATAAAGAAAAAAGAAAGAAAAAGAAGAGGATGGAAGAAAAAAGGTTGTGTTCTAATAAAAACAGAAATTTACATCAAAGAAAATTGTTGATTTGAAAGATTATAGTTCTTTCAACACGCAATCTAATTTTCGTAAAGAAAAATGAAAAACAAAAACATGCATCACGTATATTTTATATTTGACAATAATGTTACATTTTAAAAAAGCAGTTAAATAAAAAATTTATTTTTTGAATTTTAAAATTTATTAGAATTAAATAATCACAAGATGAAAATAAATATTAAAATTAAAATTTAATAATTAAAATTTGTTATAATTTGTTATAGTGTTAAAATATAAACATTATAAAATTAGAATATATACACATGATGATCAAAATACTTATGAAAGAAAAGTCATTTTATAATCACTTTTGATAAATAAATAGTATTGATTTTTATTTTAAAATTGCAGCAAATATTTTATATATATACACATATATATACACATATACATTCATATATATATATATATATATATATATATATATATATGTATGTATGTATGTATGTATATATATCATATATACATCACACATATGTACGTTTATGCATTATAATAAAATAACAATTTATTAACATATATACATATTTAAATATATTAGAGAGTATTGTTATATGTTAATATGAAAATGATGATCCAAAATTCTGCATATAAAAAATCATATGGAATATAATTACAGTATATCAAATTTGCAAAATTAAAACAAGTTTTACTTTTACGGAGAAAATTGTGCATCAGACGTGCGCAGAAAATCCAATTAATACAGTTGCAGATTTACATAGACTTAAGATATATAATTTTAAGTTCACATTATAAGTCGTGAAACACACTTTTTCATTCGTAATATTATTCATATAATTAAATGTTAAATGTTAAGTCAATTTTTTCTCAAAGAGAAAAATCTCTTGGTATTCTTATATTTCTATTCAGTTTACATTAATTTTTAAGTAAAATAACAATTTTATTATGCAAAATGATTAAGTAATTATAATAATCGAGATAATTTTCTATTTATTTTTTTTATGAAAAAAATAAATAGAAAACTTAAAATATTAATTTTAAATCATAATTTTGTTTTAAAAACAAAAAGTTTTTTTTATAAAAGAGATTTTAAGAATTGTGAAAAAATTTTGGAAAAGAAACATTAAGAATTGGAAAACTAGTAAAGTATTCTTTTTTCGTTTTTTTTCACTTAAACAATCTTTAATTTGGTTTATTAGAATAATTTTTATTAGATATGAAATGAAATTTTATGAACATTACGTACTGGTGAATTCGTCTTCATCCTCAGCCTCGGCTTCCGCCGCCAATTCTTCTGGCGTTTTCTTCTTTCGCATCAGAGGATTAGGCTCTTCTTGTGGTATCTCTTGTATCTCTTCCCGTTTTTTTATGTTATACTGTAAATAAAAAAAAATCTATCAAACAAGATAATAAAATTTCTATCGATATTAAAGGTGATCAAATATTTGCCATGTAGTCTATTATAATTTGTGTTATACAGTTATTTTATTAAATAAGTTTCTAGTTATATATTTATATATATATATATATATATATATATATATAAACAATAACAAAATAAAAATAACTACTTTGTCAATATACATATTGTATAATACATCTGTTTTAGAATTTTAATAGTTTAACATATATAATGTAGCAATAGAGCAAGAAATACACAAATTTAAATTATTTATTTTTATATAAAAATAAAGATATATTTTTCCATATATGGAAACAAATTATACAATTTAAGGAAAAAACAAAAATAGTTTCAATTTTCTTTGTTAATCAAGAAACTATAATGAAATCGAAACGTTTTATTGAACCAAACTGAAATATTATTTCAGACGAGATCTCTGTTTATTTTCTTGCTTATGAATAGTAATATATTTTTTTTATTAGCATGCAGCAATAATTGCGATTTGACTTCATAATTCTCATTGTTTCTGCTAATTAGAAAATAAGAGCTATAAAAAACTAATAGCTTATATGATTACAGCTTTTAATTTATTATTAAAATTATTATAATTTACTTATAAATTTTTTATTTTATTTTATTTTATTTTTTAATAAATAAGTTACATATTCCTCTCTATTATTATCTGATATAATAACAGACACTGCTATCCTCACATATTTTATTGACACTTTGTATTCTGGCGATAAACAATAAGCCCGATTGCGGTGCAAGTCAGATATGGCACTAGTCGTACAAGTATGTATTGCCATCGTGTGTGTGTGTGTGTGTGTGTGTGTGTGTGTGTACATGTATATATAATGCGTTTCTCTATATATAAATATTATACCATCTGTAAAATATATGCATCGTGGTTATACCACAGGCCAAGGCCATTAATTATTAGTGCCTTTCAGTAAACGATTTATTTTGCAACAAATGATAATGCATCATTGATTTTCTGAATACTTTGTTCCATGCCTTGTTCATGAGTCTTTTTTTTTAAATAAATTATATCGTATTATTTGCAATTTAAAAAAACAAATAATACTATTTAAAATCAGTATTCAATCATATTTAATACACACACACATATATGTGTGTGTGTGTATGTATGTATGTATATAAGATATATGGTATATATGAATTGTGTGTAGTACATTATGTAGTGTAGATTATAAAACTTGTATGATTTCTCTACCTTTATCATTTGCTCTATATATTAATTCGCTTAACTAAATACATGAATATAATTTGGAACAGAATCGATGCATTTCAAATCTATAAGTCAATAATATATAAAGTTGTAAATATATTTTTCTCCAAATCTCTCTCTTTCTCTTTTCCTGTATATATGTGTGTGTTACAAGTATTTGTTAAAAATTTGATGAAAAAATTGTTGACTGACATTCTGATGGGTGTTTTAATTAACAAATTTGAAAAATATATTATTAAAAATATCACTCGAATATGTACTTGTATATAGAATTCTATTTTAATTATATTATCTTAATTGCTCTGTCACATATTAAATCCAACTTCAAACAAGTGCTTTCATTCAACTCTCAATTTCTCAATGTACATGTCCCACTGCATCGAGGAGACAGAGCAAGGATAAACGAGCACTGTTTCTCACGGCAGCGTCAAATCTGATGTTCTGATCCTGACATTAATTAATGTCCCCCGAACGCACATATGCGACATGTTCGTCGTGCATTCTCCTGCATCTATGTCTGCACTTCTGTCCATTCATGCTCGAAATTATGAGAACATTATATGCCGGATTAGGATTGTTTAATGATTTATCATGCGGCACTTTTGACTGACATATCTTCATATAAACTATTTTGAAATAAATCAGACAATTAAAGTAGAACAAAAAAATGAATCTGAATAATTATATAATCAAAAATAGAAAAGATTAATATGCGCTCATAAATGTTTACAATAGAAAATATCGTATTGAGGCGAAGAGAGGAAGGAAGTTTTATCGTGCCTTAAAACTTTTTTTCTTTAGACATGTGTACATACATATATATAATTCTTATTCCTTAATAAAAGCAACAAGTGAAACAAGTAAATATCGTCCATTGTCAATACAATATAAAAATTTGTATAATTTTTTTTTAATCGTAAACGTATAATAATCATAACTATTGATGATGATAAAAAATTAGTGTTTCAAATTGTCTATCACTAGTATACTATATAGTCTTTTCATGAAGCCTGCAAAGTAAATCACATTGCAACGTTTTTGAGATCTGCGTCCTGTTTCATGCTCTTATTTTCTCTCATGTATTCTTATATAATTATATATATATTCTTATACTCAATATCTACATAAATATGATGAAGTATCGAAACATCGATTATTCATTATTTTCAGATATACATATATGTATATAAAAGCATTTATTATATGCATTATATTAATAAGCAAAAATAAAATCGAAATTATGGTATTCGATGCTCCCTATGTGCATCATAAATTTTGTCGATGCTATAAATAGACAGTATATTTGATACGGTGTCGTCATGACATGAGGAAAATTGGAATTTGAGATTTTAGTCAGAATTAAGGATCATAGAAGGCTTTAAAGAATATATATATATATATATATATATATATATATATATATATCGCATTATGATTGACTTTTTTCTTCAGCATCTGTTTTAATAATTAAGTTTTTTATTTGCAAATATATATAAAATTAATTATTAAATTACTTATTTGATAAAAGATACGAAAAAATACTTTTTTGGTTAAATAAATGGTATAAATTTCAAGATTTTTATCTTTAATATAAAATTATAATTTGTATCACATGATAGATTCAATCAGTCTCATCATATGCGATATACCTCCGCGTCCATTGCTGTGCTGTTTTCCATAAACCTGTAGATGCGTATCATTCGCGACACTTTCATCTCAGTATCATTAAATTAACTAACGCTTTGTAAATTGAGTGGCCTTAACTTCATTTAAAGCGCACGCTCTTAAGTACTTCCGCGAGACAGTTCCTCATCTGGTGAACGTCTTAAAAGGAGTCAGCCTGACTCTATTAGGAAGTCGCCATATTGAATGCAGGGACTCCCTACTAGAGTCAATTTGACCCCAGTTAAGTTCAATCTTCTCTCTTCCTATTTCGCTTCCTCGTCGTCTCTTTTTCTTCTCACCTCCGGTTGTCTCGTTTCATGCTTTTTCCCTCGAAGATCATTTACTAAGGTATTTAATAGAAATCAATCATCTAGATGTTAATTACGATATGGCAATTAACGCTAATGTTATTCATATTGTCATTATCAACATTAATGTTAATTCTTATAATTATTAGACTTTATATGAATTATTACTATAGTATTATCGAAAGATTAAAGAATGAAAAAGAAGCTGTAGAGTAGAAAGAGTAGGATAGAAAGAGAATATAACGAGAATATAACGATGCGATAAAGTATATACATAACAGAGTACAATACTATTGCGACAAGAACGATGATATCGGGAGGAGAATTCACGACAATGTGCAATAATGTCGTTTCTACAGCAATTTTTCGTCAATATACCACCAAAGACCAAGAACAGAATGATTGAAAAACGGCAGAGGAGGCGGAAATAAAGTGTCAGATGTAATACCGGGTAATATTTTCTTCGAGTAGCGAAACACGAGCGATATTAAGTCGATAGGTGAAATTTTAGATGTATTTTCTAAAAATCTCTCTTTTCTTCTTTTTCTTTTATTTATTTCACATTAACTAATTTTTAAGGCAATTTTTCTCAATTACGACATACATATATGTATATTGCATAGAATCGTAATTTTGCTCAATTCACGATCAGTCATATAATCTTTTTTGATTTCCTTATTTTATATTATCTTGGGTTCTTTTTCTATTGAGATTTTTTTGTGGGGATATTGATATGTTTACTAGATATTGTATTTATATTAGATATTTATATAGATTTTTTAAATATTTTAATTATTTTTTTAAATTATATAATATATAATATATAATATATAATTTATATTATATAATTATATATTTTAATTATTTTTTTTTAATATAATGTAAAAAGACGTAGTCAATATTTCTTTTAATGTGTTTTTTCAAAATTTGTTTATGCAAGCTAATTATTTGAGAACAATTTTGTTTTTCAAAAATTCTATTGTACAAACTGATTATTTATCAGTTTGTGGGATTTTGATGTCGATGGAAATATATAGCAATTGCACATCACGGATATAAATGCGCTCTGAATCTTAATCGGATTTAATTTGTAGTGGTACGCAGCTTTGTTATATAATATAATATTTACACTAATATAATATTATATATAAAATGCTATGTACATATATATGTAATACACAATATATGTATAATAAAATAAAATAAAATAATTAGAAAGATATATATGTATATATATATATATATATATATATATATATATATATATATGGTGCACGTAGCAATTGCTATTACTCTTTCTACAACGAATTCTCAAGATTAGTTTCTAAATAAAGTAACAAAGAATATTTTTAAATTGCACAGGGACTTTTCTATAACAAAGTCCCACTTCGTTCATTAGTCGAGATAGGAAATCGGATTTGATCTGGACCCAATGCGATTACCATGCGAAAGCCTCTTCCACTACTACGCAGACATAGTGTATGCTCTATTCTCACGAGAGATCACGGCTCTCGCGTCTCAATTTTTCCGCTCGTTTTCGAAGAATCACGTTTCCACTGACGAGGAAAAGAAGGATTTGAAGATAGTTCTTCCGCTTATGATGAAGCAACCATTAGTGTTAATTATATTCTGTCGAAATCTTCTTGCTTTACGTATGAAACCGCAGGAAGATGAAAAATCGGAGAAATACCGTCGTTTCTTATTCGAATTTCATGGAATAAAAAGCTGCTGAAACTCGATTTCTTCGTTATTACATTTGTTTAACTTTCAGTTGAACTTTTTACGAGTACTATTTTGCAATTTAATGGCTTCTCTAAAATTTGCTCAAACTATAAGCAATAAATTTCATGAATCGAATTTTAAATCCCGAAATACTATCGATTTAAATGTTTTTATCTCTCTAAATCTTTAAATTCTTTTTACACATTTTGCAGTGTTTTTAGATTTTGATGTTTTGTGATATCTCATTTTAGAAAAAGAGGAGAAAAAGAAGAGGGAGAGAGAGAGAGAGAGAGAGAGAGAGAGAGAGAGAGAGAGAGAGAGAGAGAGAGACAGAAAGAATAGGAAAAACAGAGATTTGGTATTCCAATTCTTGAATCGTTAATTTTAATTTCGTTGAAGCATACACAATTGTCAATTTAGTGATCTAGTTAATCCAAGATCCTCTATATTCAGTTCGTTATAATGCTGCGATAATAGTTACAACATTTGACCACTCGGCGACCATTTCCGCATGTAGAATTACAACTGCAGCAATGCGGTCAGTATGGCCCACATATATATACATATACATACACGCGTGCACGCATACAAATCGTTAAACTATATCCGACAACCTCGAATTACGCGTTTAGTACCTTCAACGATATCATTTCCTGTTTACGTGTGAGATAATCGCATTTCCACTCCAATAACCGTCACGCAAAGTTCAACGTCACCAACTTGGTTAGACAAATATCAGTAAAGAATAATGTTAATTCTATTAATTATGTTAATTATGTTAATTATGTTAATTATATTAATTATCAACTTTCTATGTTGCAATAATTTTTGGGATTTCATTATAAATAGAAATGCAGCTATATGTGTAGTAAGAGAGAAAATAATTTACTTTTATCTAATATTAATATAAAATTATTAAATTACGAGGAATTATTTTTAATTTTTTAATTTTTATTAGAGCTGATCCGAGATCAGTTATTCCACTTGACATTCTTCTGGAGGACAAAACAATCGGGATGAATCACTTAGAAAATAAAATCTGTCGAGGCATTGATCAGAGAGAGAGAGATGGGATAGAACAATGTACGCCAATGGTATTTCGCAAAAACTTCCAACGCATTCACTAGTTTTGCGGGAAACAAACATGTGGATGAAAAGAGGAAATAGAGGAAAGAGACTAAAAGAGAGAATGAGAGACAGAGAAAGAGAGGGAGATGTAAAACGCTCGCTGGATCGCGCCATTATCAATCCTGATGTATTGTCCTGTCAGGACAGAGTCAACGAGGCTGACATGACCCAGATGAAATCGAGGACTCTTATGGCATACGCGGAAAAATACATGGCAATATTTAGATTTGCATTCTAATATTTATAAAATACGAATAAAATTTGTAATAAAACTTGTAATTAATAAGAAGATAAAGAAGTGTCAAACAATGCCAACTAATGGCAAAATTAATTATGTCCAAATTACAAGCAATATCCGATATATAATTTTGGAAACCATCTCGTAAAACGTATGTAAATTACACACATTATTTATAAAAGATATATATATGTACATATAGAACGAGTCAGGAAATGTGAAATGATTTATCACTATGTTTCCTGAGTCATCTTTCGTATATACTATTAGCAAAAACATTTATGGATAAATTTATCTTAAACAAAACGAAAAATGCAAAATTATGACATTTCTACAATAGCTTTTTCGATTGAAAAGAACGAATTTTACACGTAGCTATAAGAGCCATTAATTAAATAGAGCAATTATAAATTTATCTCAGATAATACAAAAATAAACAAAATATGAAATATATATATATATATATATATATATATATATATATAAACATATGTTTTTTAGCTTTGTTTGTACTTCAAGAATTGATTTGAGAATTATAAAATTTGATAATTATAAAAAATTCATCTCTTTATATATCTATTAATAAATTAGTATGACAAATAAAAAAAATACATTTCTAGTCAAACATAAGTTTATAAAAATTATACTTAATCACACTCTTTTGTAGAGCGATTAAAAAAACTGCACCTTAAGCGATAATACCATAATATAGTTATCATTGTTAACCTTGTCTCTGATCTCTTGTCGCATCTTCTCCCGTTCTTCTTCCATTTTACGATGTTTCTCCTTTCTTCGCTCCTCGGCCTCTCTAATAGCTTCCTGCCTTTCTCTCTCGGCTTCTTCTTCCTTCTCCTTGTCATCCTCGTCACCGCCTTCGCCGCCTACTGCTCCTATAAAATAAAGAAAAAAAGCATTTATTTTTATATATAAAAATCTTTCTTGAAGATGTATCAAATTATATTATTACAATGGAGCGGATTTTTCGAAATCCTCAGATGACTAATCAATAACTTGATCATATGTCTTAAAATTTCTAAAATCTTAAATAGTTCGTCAAAATTTGTGTAAACTTTAATTATTATATTCACTATAGACTACATAAGAAACATTTTATTAAATAAATAATTTGTACATATTTATTTATATGTATTGCCAGAACAAAATATATATAAAATACACTGAAGAGATGAAAGATTGATTAAGTATTTTGTCGCATTTCGAACTTATTAACAGAAAGAAACACATGTTTTTGCAAAAATATGTATTTTAAACAAATGTATAATTTCTCAAGAATCGAGAATTTTTACTTTTCATATAAATGTTTAGAATTTAATAAAAATTCATTCGATCTATTTCGACTGATGAAACTGATTATGATCACAAACATTAGACAGAAGAAAGTATAAGATTTCGGAAGAATCGATGGAAGATGCAGAGAATAATGCGACAAAATCTCCGCACTTTGAGAAATTAATACTACTTCTCTATTCCGGCATTAATTTATCTTTTTCGCCTTCTCTCCTCTTTGTCTCAGTGCTCACTCATATTTGCGCTATTTTCCGCGAGTTGCAAAGGTACTTTGAAGTCCGATCTATCTTTCTGCTTTTCTTCGTTCTCTATTCATCCCAAAATTAAAACTTGGACTTTGAAGTGGCGAATAAATAAATAAATCCATAGTAGGCAATATTAAATGAAATACACAAATAAAATAATTAGTCACAGTATAAATAATAGCATAATGGCGACAAACAATAGATTACCGACAGTATTGATCGAATAATATAAATTAATTATAAAGTAATTATTGATTTATAATAAGGTATAGTACATTTTACACGTGCACATATATATATACAAGCTGCACAATAAATTTGAATTTACATTTAATGAAAGTCCCAAAAAAAATTACATGCTTTGTCTCGTTAGAAAAAGCTTCTCTCTCTTTTAAAGGCTCTCTAATTAATAAAGGCTTTCATTTTATTCTATTTTACATAATCTGTTTTGATATAAAACATTTATTAAAAAATATTATATTTTAACATATTTTATATTTAAGTAAAGAATAAAAAATAGAGGAGAAAAGAAATTAAAAATATAAGTAAAATTAAATAATGCAGCTAATTAAATAGCACATATTTAAAATTTAAAAATATAAAAATTACGTTAGAAATATATAATGCACGTTATAAGTCTCTAAAGGATTTGTACTAATTTCGTTCTCTAGAAAGCGGATTGGCAATTAGTATTCGATCAATGGTTAATATTTCAATTTTAATGAGACGATTATAATTAAGAAGGTAACCAGATCGCTCTTGAAATTTCGAGAAGCTTTTTGAGAAGAGTCTTGTATCTATGAGCAAGTTACATTTCCGGGGCAAATCTAATCACATCAAAAAGTGAGTTTAAAGATAAAAAAAAGTTCTGCGTTTAGCACAGAAGCTTCGAAAACAAAGTCTCGACTTAGCAGAGAGAGTCTTGAAAACAAAGTTTATCCGTTCAAGTTTTTCAAGAGAATAAATTCTAAAGTCAAACGAAAATATTATCCAAAGGAAACATTATGAATTCGTAAACGTCTACGGTCGATTTCGCAGCAGTACTTTTTGAGACTGCTATCAGCTTTTAAACGCAAGTTGTTGTATACGATAGAAAATCAATATCCTTGTTTAAAAATATTTTTTGTTTCATAAAATTCATAATGTTTTTAAATGTTTAACTTACAAAGTAAGGAAGAAAACGTTACGAATAGAAAAATAGGTGTTAAATTTGGATATTTTTAGAATTTTGCTAAGCTGGCGAAAATACTCAGCATATCTGAAAATTGCACGTAAAACACGTTCCGTGTCTCTGAAAAAGATTAATAACGGAATTCCTGCGGTTTTTCTCTACTCACTCCTGTGTCCGGCAAAACTGTCCACGGACAAGTTTTATTTGACAAAATGAAATTCTCCGGTGGTTATCCGGAGAATTTCATGACGTCGCTAGCCAGAGGTAATGTACAGACTGTTTTATTACAATGAACAGAAAAAAAATGTTTACGAATTTCAGTCTTTTTCTTAATATCTCATTGCGTCCCATCAATTTAACAAACTTTAGGGATTTTAACATGAAACATCTAGGATCTATAATCATAAACATACATATTTTATTCTTTGTATATGACAATATTGGAAATGCGACAAAATATATACTTAATATCTTACATCTCGATTATATGGCTTTCCAAGTCATAAGCATTTATTAAGTTGAAAAGAATTGCAATTCAAATAGTGAATTCCAAGAAAATGCTCTTTTAATAATAAAAATATAACTGGAATAAGCCTATGAATAAAGAAGAATCACATTTTGAAGAGATAATATTAATTTAAACGTGCTTATATTTGAATAAATACACTCAAAAAAATGTTTTGCTAATGTAGATAGATTTCTAGATGTCGCAACCAAAATTTATCGCTATTTTTTGTATCTGATAGAATATCGTTTGTCACAGCTAGAATTTATAGCAGTAACATTCTAGCAATATCTGCTAGAAAATTTAAATGCTATTGTTAGATATTAATCATTGCATTGGATAAATATGAGTTTCAATACTGCAGCAAGAATAATTTTTGTAAAAAATATAGCTGCTCATTATAACTGCAGCAGCGATATAATATGTCAATGTACTTTAGATATTATAGCTAACTTATTTTTATTCCATTGCCCGCATTTGATATTCATTTCTGCATGGATATTTATTCTGTCTTCTACGATACATATATGAGAATTCACTATAAAAAAATTAACCGTCTGCAGTTAATTTTTGGAGCTCTAGGGCTCCTCTCGTAAAAAATGGAAGAGATGCGCCTATAACAGTCTTCGAGCTAATGCGCTATTTGATCGATAAGCCGTGACTCGCGAGACCTGTGCCGCGGCTTTATATGATGTCTTAGATGGATTCTACTTTCGGGTTAGGCTTTTTACCTTTCGCCACCTAGCGGCGATAATGTTGCGCAATTGTCAAAAAGAGATAGACAGATTAGATGCGTTATACAAACTATATTAAGTATCAGGATTATATATTAATTTGTCTCTTGTTGCTAGTATTTTCTGTATACCACAGCCAAAATTTATATCAAGTATGATTGATCATAACATGGATAGACGCCACAGAAAAACTTTCTTTCTAAATTTCACAAACAGTTCAAATATAAATTCTGTCTCTGTCATTTAGATTGATTACGTGCAACATATATACGATATTACAACATTTGCTAATCGTTTATCTGCCTCAGTTAATTTTTCGCACCTAGAAAATTTTTGCTATAGTTGCAAGATCATTTTTTTGAGTGTAGTTTCATCTAGAAACTTGATAGCTAGACTACGTATATATGTATTCCAAACCGTAATCCTACAAAGATTAATGGTACGACAACATGGTACAATTATCCATGCGCGAGCCGTACTTCTCGTGGGAAATAACAAGTGTGTCGATATTTCTGCGTGTATCTCCAAGTCTGGCATCTTAGTTCTAAGTGTCATATTAAAGGGCTGTAAACAACGACTATTATAGCAATTATTATTCGTATGTTTATAAAATGATATAACGGGGAAATTATTGTGTGTGTATGTATATGTGTTTTAAAAATTCAAAATAACATTGAGAAAAATCTCTTTGTAAATTTTTATATACAACATATTACATAAATACGAATGAAATAAAATTTATAAATTACGCGTTGCATTGAAATAAAATATTTCTATGCCACTTCAAAACTGAAGCTTTTTTTCATCATTGAGCTCTAGCAAATAGCAGCTTGCTAGCAGAATAAGTTGCCTTTTATTTATATGGTTTAAAAGAAAAATTAAACATAAAAGAAGCAATCTGTCTCCGACATACATATTTCATATAAATCCAAACATAATGTTTGCAATCTTTTTTTCAGTTAACGTACGAAAACGTACATTAATTGAGAAAGATGTGTAAATATGCATTATCAAGAATAGTAGCGATTCCTTCTATCTAAAGGAAGGTCGAAATAATCAATAATAGAAGTACGATGGCGATTGTACGAAACGCGTTCCATGTAACGCGCGTCCGAGTGAATTTTCCAACCAATCGCTAGTAGTAAATACCATTTCCGAACACGGAGACTGGTCGTTGGAAACACCTGCGGCCCAGTGTCACGAACATTCGCTGCTCTGCTCGGCATCGTCATTGGTATTTAATTGAATCTGCATCTCGCAGCACAAATTCGTAACGACTTCTATTACAAATGACCGGGAAATTAAAATGTCGCTTGTGAGCGATAAACAAATGCATCGCGTTATGCGGAATATCCGTAGGAAATATCGAGCAATTGCGATAAGATGCGACATCGTACAGATCCGAATCAGAAATGTAGCTTCTTATTTTATTCGAATATTATTTTATCGAATTTTATTTACCAAATAATAAAATATTTTTCATTATACACAGTAAAAATGTACGTCCATATAAAATTTTCTTGTGTTACCTTCTTGTGTAATTAGTATTTCAATGTAAAATTAACATACAACTTACATTATTATTACGTTATTATTTTTAAAACGTTATTATTTTTATAACATTTTCATGTGTTACATTTTTATGTCAACTTCATAACTTAACACTTTGTATATGTCTCTAGAAATAGAATATTATTTTGAGTATTTTGAACATAATCATTTTAAAGTCAGTCTAACATTCTAAGAAAAGTTAAAGTAAATCTTCAAATAATCTTGAACTTTGACATACAGAATAATCAAATTTATTCAAATCAAATGTTTTTATTACAAATAATTTAAGTTAAAATAATTACTATTATATGTTAATGTCCTACAACAATTCTTATACGTTATTGTAACTATATTTTTATGTAATTTTTAATTAATT